CAAGATTATGCAACATTTATATCATCAGGGTACACGAGCAAGGAAAACTCTCCATGGCTCAATATGTTCATCATTTGTTAGGCAAGATACATGCGTGTACAAACCAATAAAAATATTATCCAGTAACTTTGCACATCTATACAGGCATGAGATTTTCAAGTCATGATTTCTATTTAGGCTAAGAAGAAAAAAAAGACATTGGTAAGGAGAAATGTACAAGGACATGATAGGACAGTAATTAAGCACATGATCATGAGCCTGGCAAGGGATGGGACTCTGTAAACCTCACTTTACTTCAGTTGACTCAGGCATAAGAAAGTTAGCTCCATATGAAGGTATAAAAGGTACAACCATACATAGACCTTCTTTGAGGAACAAAGGTTTTCGAATATAAAAGGTTTGCCCAGTGCTTTTTGAGAGTGATTGTATTTAGTTTTCTAAATATGCTTTGTGAGACATGGTTTAGCAGTATTTGGAGAAAATGGGAAGTTCCCCATGCTCGGAGTATGCCTGACTCCTGCATAGAGAGGGGTTCTGTGGAAAATATGAAAAAGATTGACTATGCTCTAATTTGAGCCAAAAAGAAATTTTATCTTGTTCTTTGACCTTGTATAATCAATATATAGTAAGAGCATCACTATAAATAATAGCCTGGATTCAGTTAAAATAGACCAGTAATACTGTGGGACCTGTGGTACACAACTAAAGAGAAGCAGCAAACACTGCACCAACAGCAATTCCCTCCCTCCCTACCAGGATTTTTGGCTGCTCACTAATGAATCTGACCTTTTTTTTTTTTTTTTTGTATTTTAGAAACAAGATTTTTTTAAAAAACAGCTAATGATTTTTGGATGCATTCATTTTTGGATGCCGATTATCAGACACCTTTAAAAGAGCCCAATTGTCAACAGGTTGGAGTGAGGCAGTTTCTGAAAATCAAGTCGTCTGAGATGGGCTGGACTTTTGAAAATCTTGGTCTTATATCTATATATAAATTACCTCCTATGAGCCATTCACTCCCTGCCCTCAGTTTTTATAAAAAAAATGTAGTTTGCACTGTAGAGGATACTAGGTGTTAAATTCAGAATTGAAACACGTTTTGTAAAATAAAAATGTAGATCTACAAAATCCTACAAAAATAATGCAGCTTTCAAGAAACTTTTGCCTAAATGTAAATGAAAACCTTTTTTTAGCTGACTGACATCATTCTACAATGTTATTAATCAAAACCTGGCAGGACTTATGTTAATGAAGGACAAGCAGGAAATGAAACTGACTAGTTTTGCTTCATTTCCTAAAATGAGCGAGATGCAAAGAAAAAAAAAGTAAACAAGAAGAAATGATCAGAAGGCTTTCCATTCTCGTAAGCAGAGCCACTGCGATCCGCCTATGCAATAAATGACATGATTTTCTTCTCTGCTGTATTTCCTTCAGCTGACACTACATTATTATCACTCAGAATCCCATGCCAAAGCATGTTATGCACAATGGGGCATTTGTCGTTTTGCTTTTCCTATTTTTTGCTGATTGGGGGGACAAGTTTAGTGCCATTTCAAAATGAGGGCTTTTTTGTTACTGTGAAAGAGCTTGTTTCTTGATATTTACAGATAACTCCTTAAGAATAAATAGTGCATAGAAGTCACCATGCAGACAGGCAAAGCATACAAGTACTTGTGAATCAAAGAGTGTGAAAGAAATTCATTTTAGAGAGCTGGAAGCCAGCCTGAATACATTTATTTATATCACAGTGTATTACAGTTCCAACATCAACAGCTGAGTAATCAATCCACATCTAAAAGATAAAGACAAGCTTTGTGGACATTTACTGGCATCAGTGGTTCCTACTTGCACTTAAAGTGCACCATCTTACATCATCTAGGTTCAAGTAAGGGAAGCCAGTTTTAAATCTAACAAAGAAGCTCCAGGCCCAGACAGAGATGGACGGAACATGTTCCAAGACTCTTTGAATCAACAGAAAACAGTAAACTTGCCAGTTTACATAATTGTGTGAGATGTAAGCAGTTCCTCACTCTAAAACTGTGTACAGATACAGGAGACGACTCCCAATCTGCAAGTAGTTCTCTTGTCTTTAAGAACTTCTCCTTTACTGCAACATGGACTGCAGAGAACTCCTCTTTCCAAAGAGATCAAAACTATCAATGCTAAATATACTATTCCCAGTGGAGGTTACTGCTCCTAAAACTTCCTTTTTCATGCAGCATGATCTATCACATTTCATATCACATGAGTTTGCTGTCAGATTACATAAAAGACTTTATGGGAAAAAAAAGACAGTTGACAACATGGAAGAAGGATAGAGGATGTCCCCATTTAGCTAAGGGGCCCAGAATGTCACTGCTATTGCTGACATCAGCATTTTTAAAAACGGCATTAACTGCATGTGCTAAAACTCTAATTTCCACAGACACCTGAGTTTGCACCTGCAGGATGAAGCATCAATCCAATCATGCACACATGCTGCATTCACTTCCACAGCTGCATGTTCCAGTCACAGCAGCTGCTGCTGAACTACTTTCTAGAATAACTACCAGTTTGAAGGTCTTCCCTTGTAGACTGCAATAAGGTGAAACCCCAGCTACAAGCTTGCAGAAGGAAAAAATCCCAGGGCTGGATTTCCTTGACTGCCTCCTTTAACATTTGAATTCAGAATATTTAATTAACTCCAGACAGGGACACCAACATTGCTTTTAGCTTATCCCATTGTAGTTTGGAAAAAAAAAACTTAACAACAAATGGACACTCAGGGAGAATCTCTGTCTTCCCTTGGCCACAAAACACATCACCTTTGTCTAAATTAGAAATTAAAACGCGATTAAAAGATTCGGCTACACTGAGACACCTTTCTGAAGTAAAAAGATGCATACATTCTAAATGGTGTCTGGTAGTTTGTGCCTCCTGTTGCTTTTCTAGAAATACATGAACATTTCAGTCCCTCGCAAAACTTTTCCAGCAGCTTCCAACAGCGTGTGTCCAAGACAGAGCATAATTACTTTATTACCATAATGCATTCGAAGTACACATCAGCTGACCTCACTTACATTGGAGGTTTAACAAAAATGTCAGATCCAATGCTGTTTCCAAGCCACAGGAGGAGACACAACATTTTTTGCAATAAAAGAAAAAAAAAAGTGGTTAAAAACAAGACTGAATGTACATCCTTCTTGCTGTGAAAAATCATTGCCTTCTTATTTAGTTACCAACTGAAAGGTACTGAAAGGCACTGACAGAGATGCAGTATGCTGTTCTTTAGGCATATTACACAGCCAGCATTGAAATGCACAGGTAAATTGCCCAGTTGCAAGATGTTTTTTAAACAGAAAAGCTTTTATTTTCAACTCCTCCTGTGTGCAGTATGTCTAGGAAGATAGCAGGCTATTCTTTCAAACTTCTGAAGACATGTTAGTTGACACCAGAGCTTTAAATCAATGGGTGTGGTGGACTCAGAAAATCTAATCTGCTGTTTCCAGCAACAGGCAGTGGAAAAGCTACTGTAAATAATAAACACGCCCTTGACAGCAAAAATCACAGTTTAGCTCCATTTGTTCTGGGCTAGTTCCATTACATACAAGACTGAAGCAGAGCTCCATTTTAACAGAAGGGTGCTCTCCTACACATTAAGCATGGGATTTTAATCTTGCATTATGCATGGATCAGCATAATATTTAGAGACTGAACCTTGTTCTGCTTGAAGCCAGTGTGGAAAACTAGGAAGAAACCCTGGCATCACTGACCTTCATGAGTTCACCCTGAATTTCTGCCACACCAATAAAACAGTCCAGGCCAAAACAAATCAGTCTTCAGTGCTTCTCTAGTTCTTCTAGATGGTCTCCAGAAGGAGACTCTCCTTCCCCAATTTTGGACTAAGAAAAAAAATCCAGTGCTGTAGCCCTGGTGTGACAGTTTCATGGGACTATGCTTTGTGTTACAAAGGCAGCAGGCAGAATAGATTTGCATCCTGAGGACTAACTGGACTAGCAGACACTTTCCTAAGCAGCTGTTGGCTTCAAGGGATGCTGGAAAGCCCCAAAGTTCACTGAAAGTCCCTAGCTGGTTTCAGACTTCAACCAATGTGGGGAATTAAGGTAGAATCGTAGAAAATTAGGGTTGGAAGGGACCTCAGGAACCAACCTCCTGCTCAGAGCAAGACCATCCTCCTGCTCACAGCAGGACCACCCTGCAACTAAATCATCCCAGACCAGGCTTTGCCTACCCAGCTCTTAAAAACCTCCACGGATGGAAAGTCCACCGCGGCTCTGGGCAGCCTGTTCCAGTGCTTTACTGCCCTCCTAGTGAGAAAGTCGTTTCCCAAAATCTAACCCAAACTTCCCTTGCTGCTACTTGTTCTGTCATCTGCCACCACGGAGAACAGGCTGGCTCCATCTCCGCTGGAACCGCCCTGCTGGTAGCTGAAAGCTGTGATTAAATCCCCCCTTGGTCCTCTTTTCCCCCCGTTACATTCCTCAGCCTCTCCTCGCCAGCCCCTACCGCTTAAGGCACCTCTTGGGCGATAGGTCTGGAAGAAGACGGGTCCAACATCCCACTGAGGAGATGCTGACAGACCAGGCGGCTACAAGAGTCACCGCCAGGGAGAAGCAGGGCTGGAAGGGACCTCCAGAGAGCACTAGCCTACTCTAGCACCCTGCCCGATAACAACCATGACCAACTCTACCGATCCTACCCTCTACCCATCTACGGTTGGGCTACATATGAGGGGGGGAAACCCACTCTCTCACTGGGAGGGCAGCCGAGCACTGAGAGGAGCTGTGGGCTCTCCATCCTTGGGGGTGTCTAAGACGGGGGGGGTGCCGAGGTGGGGATGGTCCGGCTCTGGGCAGCCGCCCTCATTTCCCGGGCCCCGACCTCCCCTGCCCACCCAGCAGCGCGGAGGAAGCTCGGGACCATGCCCTGCTCCAGCCAGAGCAGCGCCCGGGCTTCGCCGACAGCAGGAGGAGGAGGACGGGGGCGCAGGCAGCACTCACCAGCGGGTGCTGTCGTGGGAGTGCTCCAGCACGGAGTAGCCGAAGAAGGAGCCGTTGGGTCCCTGGAAGAGGACGGCGTGGTCCAGGTCCACGTTGTAGGAGCGCGCCAGCGCCAGGCACAGCACAGCCGCCAGCACCCGCCAGCCGCCCCGCTCGCCCGGCCGCAGCCAGCCAGCCATGCCGCGCGTCCCCC